AAGGGTTTTCTGTTTAAGCTGCAGTAACTTTTCTGACTATGGATCATCGTTCCTTCTGTGGCAGATTTTACAGTTCCTCTAATGCATTTGGGACGACTGTCTCAAAGTAACCTGCAGCTTTCCTGACAACTCCTCGCTCTCTCTCTCCTGCTAAGAACTGTAGCCTGTTGAATACAGGATAAGAAAATTATTACTCAGTGAACAGCTGTATATTCTTCATCATCATCGTCATCTATATGTATACTATACCCACCCTTTTTCTGGTTCAGTTTAGAATCTTCGGCCACCATAGCCACCACTGCCACCTCCAGATCCATAACCACCTACAAATAACATATATATTTATGTAAAGTTTCTTTGCAAGCGTTTAAAATTTTTTGCTCAAAGAGTTATATTTACCACCATAGGGACTGCCTGAGCTTCTGCCACCAAAACTGCCACCTCCTTTCATGGGTCCATAGTTTGACTGCTGTTGTCCACTATAATTGCCAAAATCGTTATAGTTTCCACTGCCACCATAGTTACCTGAAACAAAATTTATTTTTAATCATCTCAAATTTACCACCTAAGACAGCTTCAAACACAAAAACCTAAAGAACCCCACTGATTGGCCTCAGGTTGTATACCTAAGCCACAGAAGTGAGAGGCAAACTCAAAACTGGTATTGTTAATGTAGCCCTCAACATAGAAGTTCTCTCCCCTCCCCACCCACAAAAGAAAAACGTGAAACATCACTTCTGATTTAGGGGAAGAAAGAAATGGGTCTTAACTTTCTTATGAGGGAGAGCAATGTGGACAAATTAGTGTTCATAATCAAGTTATACAAAATTCTGGTCATATGGCTTGCCACAGCCTCACGCTAACCCATGCCAGTCCGACTTTCAACACCATCTTGGGGAAGAGAACATGTACTACCTTGTCTTTGACCAAGCATTCACACCATTATGTCACTCCTATTTCTACCTCCATTAAGGCAGAAAGTCAGTTTTTCTACTGAGGCACCCTAACCATAATTACTCAAATTAACAGCTTTCCACCTGTAATTCAGTATCTCTTTAAGGCAGAACTTACAGTGTGAACCCACAAATACTGCTATATTAATTGCTGAAAAGCATCGTTAGATGAAGGCTCTACAGTTAGAGATAACAGTTAAACAAGATGAACCCTTTTCAAGTCCTTGATAGCCGCTAACTAGCTACCAAACCAGTCTTGGAAGAGAAAAGTTATCCAGGAAAACTGCAGAGAGCTTCCCCCCCCATCCCTCCTATAGGAAAAACAAACTATCAATTCAGGCCCCACTCCTCATTCTATATCCAAAAAGGCCAGTTAACCATTAATGGCTTGATTAGCCCTGTACTTAAGAATGTGCTTAACTGGGGCCTTTGGCCAGGTCTATATACAGAAAGTGCACTGATTAAAAACAAATTAGTTACACCTATCTGGTTTAAGTAGTGCAATGCCTTTGTAGGGCTCTTAAGTCAGTGTAGGAGTGGCTGGACTAATATCACCAAGTTTAACTAAATTTATAGCCATTTCTACACTGATTTATGAATGTTTCCTCCAAAAGGGGCTCCACTGGCTTAATTAAATCAACTGAAAAGCCAATTTGTTAATCAGTGAGCTAATCCTATTAATCACTGCAATGCCTCGAGAGTATAAAAGCCCCATAAACCCTATCAACATGAGCAAAAAGTTTTCCAATCAAGCCAGATAAGCTCATAAGATATAAAATACATTACAATTGTCTATATTGGTATTTGGAAGGGTTTCCAATCAACTTGATTGAACTTAGTGGAAAGACATTTTGGTTATGTTGACAGGGACTTCCTTACCTTTCAAAACAGACTCATCCTTTGGCCAAGTCTACACAGCCCCCAGGGCAGGCTACAGGAGTGAGTTGTGGCATGCACTGCCAGGAGTATATTAATGTGAACTAGGTAGCTTTTATGCTCATGCTAGTAGGGCCTACACAGGGTATTTACAGTACAATGGTTTAGTGCAGGGGTAGGCAACCTATGGCACGTGTGCCAAAGGTGGCATGCGAGCTGATTTTCAGTGGCACTCACACTGCCCAGGCCACCGGTCCAGGGGACTCTGCATTTTAAATGAAGCTTCTTAAACATTTTAAAAACCTTGTTTACTTTATATACAATAGTTTAGTTATATATCATAGACTTATAGAAAGAGACCTTCTAAAAACATTAAAATACATTACTGGCATGCGAAACCTTAAATTAGAGGGAATAAATGAAGACTCAGCACACCACTTCTGAAAGGTTGCAGACCCCTAGTTTAGTGCATACTGCAACTCACACCCCCATAGACAAGCCCGAGGTGGGCTTTATAGGGGTATATTACAATGGCAGAGTACTCCTAGTATGAGTTCAGCTTGTATCTTCACAACTGCTTTTGTTGGCATATCTTATTCCAGACACCAAGGGATGTATGCTACATTTGGCAAAAGCAGAGTTTTGCCAGTGTACCTGCATCCTACAGTAAGGATTTTTACCAGCACAGCTATGTTGATCAGGTATCACCCTCCTGACCAATACAGCTATACTAGCAAGAATGTGTAGCGTAGACCTGGTCTTTATTCTAGTACACCATTATGTAACCAAAAACACAGAGTGTCCTCACTGAAAGCTGCATGCATAGACATTGGTGATATTTCAACTTTTCAAAAATGCCCCTCCCTTCTTTACCCATTCATAACACACAGGGACTTAGGAAAGCAACTTTTTGCTAATAGTTAACCTATATGTAATCCCTTTATTAATACTTGTATTGGTGGTTTGAGGCTAATAAGCTTAATTGTCAAATATAGTTTACATATCAAGACGGTGGTAGTGACTAATTTCCTGACTTTTGCAATCTAATTAGTAATTTTGCACTCATTTTCTAATGAAAGAAAATGCAATAAACTGAAATACTTCGTGTTAGTATTTAAATGTCTTATACAGACTGATGTTCAAACCTTGCTGAGGTCACAGGATGGAGGAAGGTAAGTTTTGTATCTTAACTTTCTGGCCAAAATAGCAGTAGTCTGCAGGTTATGAAAGATTAAACTAAATACCTTCATGCCACGTTATACAGAATTTTGATATATTAAGTTGGGCATAGTCCTGGGAATTCTCTACTCCTCCGCACTCAAGACATCAGAAGAAAGTCTCTCCTCTATCTGCTACTCCCCCCCTCCACCCCAAAAATTATGATCATTGCTCTTTATAAAAAATTCCTGAGCAATGGAAGACTGTACAATTAAGTATAAACATAAGGAAAGTTCGCTTACCCCCTCTGCAATATCCTTATGTTGATTATATTTGGGGCCAAACCCTAACCTCTGTCATTTCTAGAATCATTACTATATCCCGTAATTTTAGGTTCTATATAGTTTAGATTTGCGAGCTATAGGCTACATTTTAAAGATCTGCAACTACTACTTACCGCCACCAAAATTTCCTCCTTCGTTGTAACCATCGTATCCACCACCTCCTCCTCCACCACCACCGCCGCCGCCACCATATCCACCACCTGGGTTTCCGTATCCTGGTCCTCCTCCACCACCACCACCGTAACCCCCTCTACTACTGTAACCAGGGCCACCTCCATAGTTCCCACCTAAAAAAGAAAGATTAGTCAGTGTACCAAAAAAATTAGGTATAGATGTAAGTAGAATAAGTATGCTGCAACTGAAATGCTAAGTTTTTTCAGCTACAAGAACATTCTTTGATAAAATAGCTAAGTAAGTCACAACACATTAATCTATGTGTCTGTACCAAAAGCAATAAAGTAGCTTTAATTATAAAATAGTCTACTGTTCTATTTCCTCTATTGTTTTCAAAGGCAGAAGTGCCACTTACACATCTCGCTGATGGGAAAACTTCCAGAAGTTCTGTCCAGACACTGGTTTGGATAAGCATCCAAACCCAAGTCTGCTAAGATTACAAGTTTATGAAATCTTTTACATATGAACCTCAGATATTAAGTCAACTTTCATGTCATCTTGTCATATCTGACCCTTGAGGTTTCAGCCATAGCAGGCATAGGGACTGGAAAAAGTTAGCTTTCATTTAACTGTTTTCACTCAATTAATTATTTGCCTATCATTTACTTAAATGTAGATGTGTTTAAGGCTCAGTTTACACTTGGATCAGTTTCATTTTAACCAACTTGCTCATCTAGGGAAGATGTAACTGCACTGAAAAAAAAAAATATATCAAAAGGAAGTCATTCAACTCATGTTGCACAATATCCAAGTAAACAATCACTGCCAAAATAACCTCACTTTCCAAAGTCCAAAGCCAGTTCTGACCAAGTGGTATTAGGATATGCTTACCATCGCCAAATCCATTATATCCATCACCACTCCCAAAGCTTCCACTTCTCCCACCACCACCGCTACCGCCACCATAGCCTCCTGGACCAAAGAAAAGAGGTTTTCATGAACAAATACAAGTCTGGTTGAGCCAATATCTCATTTTGATGAAATATGAAAGAGACTCAATCATCTACCTCTGCCACCAAAGTTTCCTCCTCGGCTGAAATTTCCACCACCACCACCTCCTCCTCCTCCTCCAAAACTTCCACGACCCATGAAGTTGCCTGAGCCACCCCCGCGACCTACAAGACATTTTACATATATTAAATGAAATGCAAACTAAGCTATGTAAAAATATCCCATTATGCACCACCTCAAACTTACCTCTCTGTGAGCTAGCAGTCTGCATCTCTTGCTTGGAAAGTGCTTTTTTCACTTCACAATTATGTCCATTTATAGTATGATATTTCTGAACTAGAAAATAAACAATTTTGAAATAGTTTCTCGTTTTCACTGTTCACTAGAACATGAGCTACACAAAGCTTTAGTAAAAGCATAAACACAGGTTAAAAGCAAAGATTATACTACATGCAATATTTCTTGTAGCATGCTTTCGGTCAACTATTTGCTTACTAATAAACACATTCCATGCATGGTTCAGGTCTGTGTAAAAATCAGTTATACTATTTCAAGTAATTTCACATTCTATAACAGTCACATACCAACAATTTTATCAACTGTATCATGATCATCAAAAGTTACAAAAGCAAATCCTCTTTTCTTTCCACTCTGCCTGTCTTCCATGACTTCTATGGTTTCAATCTTGCCATATTTTTCAAAGTAGTCTCTTAAATTATACTCTTCTGTATCTTCTTTAATTCCACCAACAAATATTTTCTTTACTGTTAAGTGTGCTCCAGGCTTTACAGAATCCTAGAAGGCCAGAAATTATATTTAGTACTTTATATTTCTCATGACTTCCTAATATACTCAGTACAAATTAAGTTATGACTTACTTCTCTAGAAACTGCTCTCTTGGGCTCGACCACACGTCCATCAACCTTATGTGGTCGAGCACTCATTGCAGCATCTACCTCTTCCACACAAGAGTATGTCACAAAGCCAAAGCCTCTGGAACGTTTTGTTTGTGGGTCTCTCATCACCTACAAGAGCATAAGAGACATGCTATCATCTTACTACATTTAGATATTTTCATTGTTTCAGAAACATTTTTTGAATTATGACAACTTACCACACAGTCTGTGAGCGTGCCCCATTTTTCAAAATGTTCTCTTAAGCTATCATCTGTTGTTTCAAAGCTCAGGCCTCCAATGAACAGTTTTCTCAACTGTTCTGGCTCCTTTGGGTCATGGCCCTGCAAAACCAAGACATTTTCTCAGCAAGCTACACCAAACACTTGTGTCCTGTCAAGTTAACAAGTTTGGTAGCATTACTAACAATTCTTCTGAGTTTTTTTTTCATAATATAAATATTTAAATAAGTTTTGTTCACAACAGTAAAAAACATTTAACATTTGGTGAAGAAGAATAGGTTTAAGTAATTCCACTGGTTAGCTTCTTTAGTGATGTGTGGTTTTGTTTAGCAGGCTAGAACTTGGTTTTGAATTTTAGTATTACAAGTTTGGTCATACCTATAGCTAGATACAAGAGTATCAAACAGTTTATTTTTAAAGTGTATCCAAATATCTATGGCATGTTAATGCTATTTGATCTGCAAGTCTCAGGAACTATATCCTACAGATTTCATTATAAGTGAGCCACCACTATATACTGGCAAATAACTTCTACAGGGTTAAAAATAAAGCAAGACACCAAGCCAAAGGGCACCGTCAAGGAACTGAAGTCCAGAGTCTCAGTGGTCTGAGAACATGCTGTTTTGCTAGATTTAAGTGACAAGTGACTTTGGGAGCCCACACTATAAAGGGGTCCAATTTTCAGAGGATGGGATCTTTCAAAGATAAGCAACCAAAAACTAAGATATACAAAATCAGCCACTTTTTGAGCATCTCGGCCCCTGTACAGAGGCAAACAAAGTTGTAAAAGCTTTCTTATAGCAAGATTCAAATGTCTCCTTTGCCAACCTTTCTGACTGGACAGCAACAATTCCATCCACCAACAGCCATTAGCTATGTTAGTCTGAAAGTATAACAAAAAGCATTGTGGCCCCACACCTTGTCCAAGAGTGAAACAAGGTCTTGTCTATATGACAGGGTTGAACTGATTTACCTGAAGGGGTTATTTTAAAAACAGATTTAGTTAAACTGCTGCAAAAAGCTGCATGGACATGTGAAGACAGCGCTTAAAAATGTGAATCTTATACAAATTAGTGAAGCAATTACAAGTATTTTAAAAGAACATTTAGGTCATGCTAGAACATCTTCTATGACTTATTTTTGTAGATCAAATTTAAGACTTTTTGGAAATCTGAATTAAGTGTAAGCTTATTTTATGTCTTCATTCAACAAACATTTTTCTAAAAGGCCACAATGTAAAGTATCTTGAAACAAGAGTCTCAACAGTGCTGTGAAAAAAGGGCCCCATGATACTTTCTTGAGCTGGGCCCATGAAACAAGGTTAAAGCCGGAGGAACAACTACTGTATTGGAAAGCAAAAGTAAGGAAAAGCTTGTTTCTAGTTTAGTTGAGCTAAATTTTAATGTGAGCTATTAAAATTAAATGCACAGTTTAGTTTTCCAGAGTGCAGCTTTTCAGGGAATTCTTTAACCCAGGGGTTCTCAAACTGGGGGGTCGGGACCACTCAGGGGGCTGCGAGGTTATTACATGGGGGGGGGGGGTCACGAGTTGTCAGCCTCCACCGCTTTGCCTCCAGCATTTAAAATAGTGTTAAATATAAAAAGTGTTTTTAATTTATAAGGGAGGGTCACACTCAGAGGCTTGCTGTGTGAAAGGGGTCACCAGTACAAACGTTTGAGAACCACTGCTTTAACAGTATACTTTGAATTTTGTTTTTAAGTTTTAAAGACATAAGGGGTTCTCTCCTTCCTATTAGTTTCAAGTGACTTAAGCAACGAAGGAGATAACTCACAAAGTGCTGACAATGTACAATATTTTTTCGGCAAACTTACCAATTATTGTAACCACAGGTTTTACTAAATTACACAGCAAGTTAAAAATTAAAGAGTGTTTCAAGTTGACTAGATCTCTTTAAGACTACTGGGCAACTCATACAACAGCTCATGTGGGAAAAGCAGTAGAAGAATATTTTAACGTTTATGAACGCATAGTCACAAAATAAGAAATAGGAAACACTCCAGAGTGAAGTGCTGGCACAAAGCCCTGTGCACAATTAAAGCCCTACAGTGGGGATGTGCATGAGGGACCACTGCATCTGCTCCCAACAGGCTAATGTGGGGCAGACACAGGGCAAGCTGAAGGATGGCTGATTGCAGATACAACTATATGGAACAAGTAACCCTGGCCTCAGACAGATGTGATCTGCCACTCCAATCTGCAAGTGGAGCATTCCAGTCCTGCTCTCAGGTTAGGGAAGGTCATTTGGCTTTTTTCAGAAAAAAATGCATTTCCCTTTGAGTGAATGCAATATGGCTGCTTTGAAGGACAACATATTTATAAGTTATTTGTTCAAGAGTGCTTAGCAAACAAAGGCTTAAGGCTGAATTTTGTACCACTTCTGGGAAATATTCAATTAAGTGGGTTCCAAACTATAGTGCAAAGACCAATGGCTGGTGATTCACGAAGAGCTGGCTCTCATTTTCAGATGAGAAACTCTATAGATATCCAAAAGCATTCCCCCCCTCATATTAGTTTTATATTTTAAACAACCGACTTAGTTACCATACAAATACTATGTAATGATTAAGCAGAGAGGGGGGTTTCAGGGGTCCTGTGACTGCAAGTGGGAGACATGGGTCATGACATACTTTAAATGGTCCAGATTCTGAAAATATTTGAGTACCTTTACTCCAAATACTTTAGTTACATTTGCATTTAAAATTTTTAAAGGTTCAAGTTTAGTCATGGTGTAATTATTGCTTGATACAACTGCAATATAATGCAATCAGCAGCATTCATAATTTTACATGACATATGCTAAAGAGTCAGTATTTAACCTACAACATATTTTTTACATTGACATTAGCCAGCTTTGTTTTTGATTGTATATATACACACGCTCCTTTCCCTGCTGTGCCTGTCTGTTTTAGTCTTAGCAGGCACTGAATTTACAGCAACAAGTAAAGGTCTTGAATATTTCAAACTTGCCTGCTCACAGTAATGGAGAAAAAGGAAGTGTGAAGAAAAGCTATCTCAACATGAATTTTGTTTGGCAGTTCAGCCTGCTAACAGAAAAACTGAGCTGGGTTCCTTTGTTAAAAAGGGACCTACAAAGAGAAAAAGTGGACCCGGTCCCTTTTGTTTTTCAACATGCATCAGGCCTGCCATTTTAATATAAATATACAAATAAGAGAAAAATAGGTCTTATCTATGCTCCAGAAATATGACTGGAGAACAACTGAAAAGTGTCATTCCGGGTGGAAGGGGAATTCTGCTGTGTCATTTTCTCCCCCTGGTTCCTGCACAAACTGCAGTCTTTCCTTGGGATTTCTTGTGTATTGTATTCTCATTGGGCAAGAAGGAATAGATCTTGGTGTATTAGTTTCTCCCTGAGGCAGGAGGTATTTTGCTGGGTACTGCACTCTCCTCGTAGTGATTTTCTCTCTCTTTTTTTTGCATGAGAGTTCTGAAAGGGGGATGTTTCTATTTTAAAGAAGCTCTCCATGAAGATGTTTTTTTCTGGGAGTTTGTTGCTTGAGAAGCAGGGCTAACTTGTTAAGGATTTCATTCTCTCTGGGGATGGATGGCTGGGGTTTTCTAGATGTTAGTTTCCTGCGGATGGGATCAGCATTGTCCCTCATGCGTGTGTGAGATGGACTGTGGTGTTAGTCTCCAGGATTGAGAATTATGCAGAATATTATACTCCTGTCAGCTCCTTTCAGCCTGTTCCATTCCCCTCCCGAGCAGTGGTTGCAATGGGGAGGAAACGCAGTACAAGCGCTCGCAGCCCCTTGCATAGAGGAAGGGCAGCCTCCCCCGAGCCCACACTGCGGGCCTGCGCGCCATTTCGCGGCGCCGAGACGCCTATTCAGGGGGCGAATTCCGGAGCGGGAGCGGCCAGTTTCTGCTCCACCCGGCCCAGGCGGCACGCTCCGCCGCCAGCCCCCCCCTCCCCCTCCCTCCCGGCAGTCTAGGCCAGCTGCCGCGCTCCCCCGGCGCAGCGCTAACGCGGCGGCGGTTACCTCCATTTTGTGACCGGACACGAGTCGCCGCGTTCACCCTCGCCTCAATATGGAGCAGAGAGGAAAGCGGGATCACGTGATAGGAGGAAGGCGGGCTTGAAACCAGCGCGCGCACCCAGCTGTCGCTTACTGGCAAGGGGAGGAGGGAGAGGGCCTGTCCCTCTTTCTCCTGTGGGAGCAGCGTCTCTGGCCCCATATGCAAGACCAACATTTTCTGTTTGGAGACCCCAGGCTCGTTGTACTAAGCAGCCACAACAGGAGCGCATGAGGGAGGGGCGAAATACAACACATGGCCGGGTGCGAACGCGCCGCTTCCTTAAGTCTCTGTCCTTCCCTTGTACAGGCACCCCCAGATCCTAGCATTTCCACCTACATGTAGAAACCGCTGCCAAAACCCCCTCTGCAAGCCCGCACAGCACTCCATGAGAATCCTTCGCTTTGTCTGGAGACACAAAGTTGCCCTGAAGACTAAAAAGCACTTAAGTGCAACAGCAAGTTACGTTTTGGGAAGCAGCTCCAACACCAGTTCACTTGTTTCATATTTATAGCACAACAGCTTCTGGGGAACACTTTTAGATTACAGTGTTTTCCCAGATTACTTACAGGTGCTGTTTTCACAGCCCAAGATATCAATATCCTTTATCAACAGGAAAAAAAGACATGCAGATAGGAACTGTGGAGAAGCTTGTATTGGCACTGTCAGTGTATACCAACTGATCTGCAGGGACCAACCCTAGCTAAGAATCTATCAGCTCAATCTCCAAGCCTATTCAACCCCCAAGTATTTTCAGAGACCAAAAATAAGACTGACAGTTAGTGACAGTGTTTGGTGGAGACACTTGTCCTCTGGAAAACTGGCTGCAGATTTGTCATGACACTTTTAATCAAGAAAATCAGCAATTCATGGTAACTTTAGTAAAAGCCATAGGTTGTGATTTTTTTATACAATACTTTAACATAGTATCTTGTTAAAATCATAGGCCAGTGTCTACAGCCTTTCCTCTGTCATGTTCTCCTCCTCACCCTGCTGAGGGAGCACCAACATGCACAAAAGAACCATTATCCTCTGCACAGCAACTCTAATCTTGGCCCAGTAAGGAAGGGGATGGAGGCTGAAGAGCAAGCCTGCCCTACATTCATCCCAATGGCAGCTCCTACATCCTGTAGGACTTAGCCTGACTTCCTGCTCTGGATATTGCAATCTATTGCATGGAATCACATCAGCACTCAGGTTTGGCCTGGTCACTTCTCAGTCATGGGGGCACTGAGACCCTTTGCCCATGTTGCAAAGCCCTGAATAGAAAACCAGGCCCTACCCCATAGGAGCCACCACTGAGGGACAAATGTGGGGCAGGCTTGCTCTGACATTCCCCATCCTCAGGGCCTCCCCTCTTCACCAGGCTGGCAGGCCAACCCACCTAAAGCGTTCCTGCATGGAAGTCAGAGAAACCACATCCATGACATTTTCACCACCATGAAATCTGCAGCCCTAAAATGACCATTAAACTCATTTTTTGCTTGTGGGTTCAGAGACTGAGCGACTGATGTTACTTTTTTGCATCTTTGGATAGAGTGTAATAGTTACGGCATTGTTTTTAAAAGGTTTAAGGACCACTTTTGATACAAACTATCCTTATGCACAACTACAAAATGGGGAACAAATGGAAGGTGGTAATACTGCTGAAGAGGATCTGGGGGGTATAATAGATCAAATTGAATGAGACAATATGAAGAAGTTTAAAAAGGCTAGTATTCTTGGGTGTATTAACAGGAGTGTTGTAAGTAAAAAATAGGAAGTAATATTCCAACTCTACTTGGCATTGGTGAGGCTTCAGCTGGAGTACTGGGTCCAATTCTGGGTGCTACATTTTAGGAAAGATGCAGGTAAACTGGAGCAAGTCCAAAGGAGAGAGAGGAACAGAAGTGATAAAAAGGTTTAGAAAACCTGACCTACAAGGAAAGATTACAAAAAACAAGTCTTTTCTCAGGACTAAAAATGCCGAGGGACCCGATAGGGAAGTTATCACTTTTACGAGATATAGTCTCACTTCCATTCTCAGAGGTTGTAGAGAATTGTTGTTCATTTTAGTTACAGATAGCCTGTCTTCCCTCTCATTGAGAAAAATGGAAGGAATTCTGAATAAAAATCAAGAATTCATTAATATACTGCTGATGCTCCTGAGCATCAGCAGTAAAGCAGAAAACACCTAAATCAGTGAAAATTAGCAACTTTGAGGACATTTGTAAGATAAATTTTGTTATAGTAACAGAATAGAAGTACAGATTTTATCTCATTCTCAGAGTCTATCCTGTAGAAGTAATAAACTATACATAACATTTCAGCAAACAAGTTTGTTGCTTGACCCTGTTTTGTTTTGGTTTTTGTAATGCAAGGGATGGGAATGTTTGAACAAGTTGTTAATAGAGCCCAGCAGGGATGAATGGTGAAGTGTTGTTACATACCTGGCATAGAAACATTCAGACAGACAAGACTCTTTCATCTACCCATATAGGAGAACCAGAATGAACTTAAGAAATAAAGGAAACACTACCTGTGAAGATCTTCTTCCTTTCCTCTTGTAGTCTTCAATATCTCTCTCCTCTTTGATCCCAGACATTTTGGAAGGATGCACTAACTCAGTTGCTCCTTTTAACCTAGGAAACAAGTTGTATGAGTCAATATTTACCTCTGTGGGTCTTTTTCTTCCCCATATGTAAAGATGCACGCCTTTCCATGGGTTGGAACAAACAAGTGGCTTTACTAAGGGGGGCAGGGTATGGCAGTGGGGCAAAGCTCTATAAAAAATATAGAACAAGTTACAAGCCAGTAGATGGAAGCTTAGAGGAAGAGTGCTGCAACGGGATTTGTTTTTTGTGTTTAACCTTTAGGTTATTTTTAAGATAGTTACTTTAATTGCTAGTTAGGGAAGTGAGGTCTGAAAAAAGTGTTTCAGTTGATTTATAAAACACCATGAAATCTGACTGCTGTTGTATAGCTATCATAGTCAATATATGATTCATCTTACTACATAAAATTTCATTTCTGGTCTTAGATTCTATTCCTGATATCCTTTAAAGGAGTGATGGGCAACCTGCAGCCCATCAGGGTAAACCACTGGCAGGCCACAGGTTGCCTACCACTGCTTTAAAGCCTCCAATGTTTAACAAATATTTATTAACAGGATGATTTCCCTACTTTATTGGGAATGTTTCCCCTTGTGTTCTACTCACTGAGCAAGTAGCCTACAAGACTGGAGCACTATAACATGGGAAAAACAATTGCCATAACAGCAAATATTGCTCTAATGCTTTACTTTAGACATTAATGCAAGAATCCTCTAATGCCACTGTGGGTTGCTGCTAGTTCATAAAGTCCAAGATTGTGGTCCGTTGACCACTAGTGATCTGTATGTAGAGTACAACTGGTCAGATGGTTTTGCCTCATCTTTGTTTCCCGTTGTAAGTTTAATTAAAGCTAAAAACCTATAATATTTCTAATATCTGTCTTGTAAGTAATGGCTTACACTTACCAAGGGCACATGCAGTCAGTCACAAATAAGGGAGGTAGTCAAGACACTTTTCAATCTTGAAGATTCTTGTTAACTCATGTGCTAGATCAGCAGTTCTCAAACTGTGGGTCGGAACCCCAAAGTGGGTCAGGATCCTTAATGGGGTCGCCAGGGATGGCGTTAGATTTGCTGGATCCCAGGGCTGAAGCCCAAAGGCTTCAGCTTTGGGTAGTGGGACTCAGGTTACAGGCCCCCCAACTGGAGCTAAAACCCTTGGGCTTTGCTTCCCCCATTTTCCCCCAACCCAGGCAGCAGGGCTTGGTCAGGCTCAGGTTTCTGTCCCTCCTTGTGAGGTCATGTAGTCATTTTTGTTGTCAGAAGGGGGTCATGGTGCAATGAAGTTTGAGAACCCCTGTACTAGATTATTGTCCTTTAACAAGTGAAAGGCAGCATGTCCCCCTCTACTCCTTGGCTATTTCAGTTAACACTGAAGTTTAGGCCCTCAATTTCCTCTACACTTCTAAATGAATAGCTGGAAACAACTGCACACAGATTTAGTCAACATCTAAATTTTCTAGTCACCATACGAAATTTCAACTGTGAAATATTCTGGTAAATGTATTCCAAAGTGGGAGTAAAGTATAAGCTGAAAACACAAGGACAGTTTTTCCTCTGCCCTCGTGATAATTCAGTCAGTTTACTAAACTTAGCTTTTATATACTTAGCTTTTACAGGATATATGTAAATCAGTGATTTCAATGTACTTTTATTTCAGCCACTGAAGAATATCCTGGGAAGGCAGAGACCCCAGTTAGTAAGAGTCAGATGTACAGTTCTTCATGGGGCAAGAAGCATCAATAATCTAAAATTATCCCATTTTGTTACCAATATAGGAATCCCCAATAAGGGAAAAATAAATAGTTTTAATACTGTATGTTGGTTTTAGATTTAATTCTAACATTCGGCAAAATATAGCAATGTAGAATCTAGTAAATCAGGAGCAATTCTATGTTTATTCCAACAATGATATTTGAAAAATGTAATTAGTAAACCAAGTAACTGTTTGACCATCACATGTGCAAGTTACCAAACAGAACTATTAACTTTTTAGGTAGACAGTCTACACATTTAATGCATGCAATAGATAAAAGTTTTGATTCTACATTAAATGAGAATGAATTTTTATTCTGCAAACTAAGACAAGACAAGATTTAAATCAAACTTTAATTTGATCAGATTTTAAACCAAATTTAAATAACGCATCCTGCTTAGAAACAAAAGCTTTTATAGGAGCATTTATGAAGTACCATCAGAGCTTCTCTATTGTCCTCAAACACTGTCTACCTCAATGCTAAGTTTGGTGCAGCTTCATGTATGTCATTTCAGAGGTAAAAGTCACCAATTTCTCTCTCAAGATTCCTCAGAGCAGGTGTTGGAGAAAATAGGAGTCTAGTCCTTGCTTCTGAAGAACATAAGGAATTATGGGTAGCTGGAGGAGGCACGTGGTGGGACCACGAATTGGAGGCAGTCAGGGGCTGCCAAAGGGAAGCATGGGTGGGTTTTGATGCACGCTAACACATGCCTGGGGGAGTTAAGAGGTGTGGGAGGAGATTCCCCACTCTATTCCCTCTTTTAGACCTCTACTGTGCCTTTTTAAGGGTCTAAATCCCCTCACTTTCCTATCAGCAGCTGTTGTCACCACCAGCTAGGCTCTATGCAGGCCAGCACTGCAGGAAGGGTGGAGACGCTGCCTGAAATCTGGTGCCACAAAGAACACAGGAGCCCAGGAGGAACTACTACTGTGTGTTTAGAGCAGAGGTGGGCAAACTAAGGCAGGTGGGCCAGATAGTCCTGCCCGGCCTTTGAGCTCTTGGCTGGGGAGCCTAGCCCCCGGCCCCTTCCCCACTGTCATGTCACCGTGTGGGCAGCGCTCTGGGTGGCAGGGTTGCATGCACCTGCTGAGGAGAGTGCAGCATGTCTGGCTCCGGCCGGGCGGCGCAGCTGCCAGACATGCTGTTCTGAGCGGCATGGTAAGGGGGTCAGGGGGTTGGATAAAGGGCAAGGGGTCCCGGGGGCAGTCAGGGGACAGGAAGCAGGGGGGGGGGCTGGATAGGTGTGGGAGTCCCAGGGAGCCTATCAGGGGGTGGGGGTGTGGATAGGGGTCAGAGCAGTCAGGGGACTGGGAGCAAGGGGGGTTGGATAGGGGATGGGGTCCCAGGGCGGTTATGGAACAAGAAGCGGAAGGGAGGGATGGGATTGGATGGGTCAGGAGTTTTGATGGGGGCAGGAAGTGGGAGGGGTTGGATAGGGGCAAGGGCCAGGCTGTTTGGGGAGGCACAGTCTTCCGTACCCCACCCTCCATACAGTTTTGCAACCCCCAACGTGGCCCTCTGGCCAAAAAGTTTGCCCACCCCTGGCTTAGAGGCCAGTTGAATGCATGAGGTATCAACTGGGATGCAGGCAGGCCTGATAGGCTTGCAATATGCAGAAGTGTCAACATGCATGACATTTGGCAGTGCTATATCTACAATGTGTTTCACAGAAAGTTATGGCACTGCATTTAAACACAGCTGTAGTTAAGCCAATTCTGACAAGGATAATATATTGCAAATATATCTGAAGAAGATTCCTTTAAAACATAGTTTCATAAACAGAACTAAAACTGGGCTAGAAACAATGTAAATGGTTTACACTGTTGCAGACAACCCATTCCCAATGTAAGCAGCATTATCATTTGTGAAGAGCAGGAAAATATTTGATTAGGCACACCATGGATTTTCAAGCTATATTAATCATGATCCACACTGTTAGATGTCAGTAGGACAGCTCCCCTACCATTTGCAAACTGCAACATCCCTGAAGCAACTAAAACAATTGCTTACACATAAAGTTATTCTGACCTGTTATGCTATCGTCTGGAGTTTCCTCTCTGCCTCTTATGTAGTAGCAGTTACTAATGGAGGCAGCCAGGTTCTCCCTTTCTTCTAGTTGCTTTTACACGCTTCAGGCCTGGATACCTGAGAAACGGAGTGGTGGAATCTTGCTGTGAGTTCTACTGAGCAGGGATACCCACATCCCTCCCCAATGGATCACAGAGAAAGGAACGGCTGTGCAAGAGCTCTCTCCAACAATTGGGGCATTACAGGATCTTCCATGGGTGGTGGTAGGATTTGCTTTGTATCTTACTCTCAGTGTAGGCCAGATCCAAAAATCAACTGAAGTCAATGGGAGTCTGACTTCAATGGGCTTTGGATCAGATTCCGTGTGAGACTCTTCCTTTGTCTCTCTTCCCAGAGTCGTGGCAGCTGCATGTTGGTTGTTGGCCGGGCCAGACTTTGGCTTTAGACGTTTGTCTCTCCCTGGGGACAGTGGGGATTGTGCTGCTGTGGGTGCAACTGCCAGCCTGTTCTGGAGGTGGGGAGGTGTCACGTATAGCGGTTTCTCCCCCAGGAGGTGCAGTGAGAAGGATGGCATTTTGCGGTTTCTCTACAGGGGGAAGGGGGCGCAGCAGGATGGCATTTTGCAGCTGTGGGTTGGGGGGTGTCCCAGCCTTTCTCGGGTGCCGACTGGAGAGTGTTGGTCGATGCCGAGAGAGGGGGGGTTGCTGGAAATTACGCCCCTCCCTTAGGTGCGCGCGGTGGGGATTTTACTGGGGGGCCGGGGCTCACTCTCCACCCCCACCCTCCCGGCCGGGGGCTATTACGAGCATTGCGGTTTCCTGGCCGGACCCATAGTGTCAATACCCCCCCCCCCCCGGAGGGTAGAGTGCTCAGAGGGCGGCAAAATGGCGGCCGCAGCCCTATTGCTTGAGGGGCTGGAGCTTGAAGCGCAGCTCTCCCCCCGCCCTCGGTCAGTGCGCTATTTCGCAACGCCGAGGCGGCTGGGTCGGGGGAAACCCTTCGGGGGAAGCGGGGCCGTTTTGCCGCCAGCCTGCCCGACACACCCAGCTGCCTGCGCTCCCGTCCCAAATCCACCCGCATGGAGCTCGGCCGGGCACGAAAGCAGCGCAGGGGGGGGGGGCGGCTTCACTATCCCTCCCTCGTGTCTGGCCAGACAGCAGCCCCGCTCCCTCCACGCGGCGCTAACGCGGCGGCGGCGGCGGCGATTACCTCCATTTTGTGACCAGACTCGTTTCCTTCAGTTTCAAATTCAATATGGAGCCGAGAGGGAGAGGAGAGGAGAGGAGGGGTCACGTGAGAAGAGGGGAGGCGGGCTCGAGACAGCGCGTGCGCTCAGTAACAGAGAATTCGGCAGAGCTTTCGCGCGCCGTGGCGGGGCCGCCTCCTTCTGTCCTCCCCTTCCCGCCAGGAAGCCGGGGAGGGCGGCTCAGGGCGATCCCGACCCCTGAGCGGGAAAGGAAGCTGCGAACAAGAACGCTGTATGAAATAGCCACAGCTGGGGGAGGGGGAGGCGAGGCGATACATACAAGATACAGCGTGGGGAGGGGCGGAGGGACGAATGTTCCCTGTTCAGAAGGCGCAGCGCGCGTGGCCCGCCATGCCCCAGCCCATGACTCGGATATCTACATAGGGCCGCAACACATAAATCCAAGCCCCCTGCTTCAGGGAATATCCCTGCAAGAGCCTGGAAAGCAGCCTAGGGGTCTTGAGTTCCATATACCATGCACGATCAAGTCACCCTTAAGTACATATACGCAAAAATGAGGGCCTCCCCCAACCTGATGGAAGGACTCCACACTCCTCTGTCTGGGAGCTCTGTCCCACTTCTGTTCTACGTCCAGCGAGCCTGCTCCTTCCCGCCCCCTCCACGTTTCCTAGTCTCTCTTCCCTGCCCTTCCAGATTCCAAGGACCTCCCTTCTCAGCCCTTCCAATAGTGCTCACTCCAGCCTTTCGTCCTGCTATATCTGACACCTCAAAGGAGCAGCCATCTTCCCTGACAGCCAGTTGCCTTCATTCCCCGTTGGAACGAAAGGGGGTGAGCCATCTTCTCTAAGGGCAGCCATATTTTCACCCTCAAAATTCCTACGCAATTCACGGGAGGGTAACGTGGGCTCACTTCCATCAAGCAAAATGGAAAATAGCAGCAGATTAGAGGAAGGGCAAAAATACACAACAGCATTAGTTAAAGAGAACAACCCACCCGTCAAACGCTGACTATTATGAAAGTTAGTAACTTAGTGAGATAAAATAGTGCTTGTTTTTAAACTCTAGAACACACACAGGATTGCCACCCTCAAGAGATCAAAAGTCACGAGACAAAGTTTGGCCTAGAAAAATCAGTTTTTTAATCCTTTTTTTTAATTTCTTAACTCCCCTTTATTCCTCTGCCAGTATGTCAATGTCAGGTTGAAAGTCAACCAGTAATGCACACAAGATGCAATCCTCTCCCTGGATGCTCAGATGGATACTTCATTTACTCTCTACACCCCCTGCTGCCCTGGGACTTTTCCACCTGTGCCCCACCAACACCAGCTCTCTGAATCCCCCTGCTTCCCTAGTACTTCTCTTCCCAGGAGGAGTAACAGCACATCACTGCTTCCCCTCACCCCAGGTCCCTCTCCCTGCTATCTAGCCACTCCTGTAGGTAGGGCAGGTCTGTAGTATCCTCAATCCCAAGGCACTCACGTAGAATTTTGCTAGTATGCCATTGCCCAGCCCTGAAAAAAGTCACAGGCTCAGAGGAACTTCTCACATCACAGCAGAGCTCCTCCTGCAGGTGCCAACAAAAAAATGCCCTAACTCATGATCAGTTTGCAAAAGTTGGCATGACTGCCTTCTCCAGTATCAGGGGGTAGCCCTGTTAGTCTGTATCTACAAAAACAACAAGGAGTCTTAAGGTGCCACCAGACTCCTTGTTGCCTTCTCCAGGTTGCTCAGAGGTGCCATCTCTTCCCCACCACTACCCCAGGCTAGGAGTGCTGCTGCCATTCTTCCCATCATTTTACTCTGCACCCCTTCAGCCCCACACCCCCATGCATCCTATAGATCCACCTGCTGCTCTACCTTATTCTCAGCATTCACAGTATTTCTGCTGCTCCTCATAGTCCCTGTGTCCTGCTAACCCCCTCAACCATAGAATAGCAGCCATTTTGCCTGCAGGGATGGCATCAATCTCACTGAAAACAGTGGGAGATGGCAGCTAACTTTATAAAGGGCAGCCATGCTACCATATGCAGAGAAACTGTAGGGAAACAGTGGCCATCTTGATGGCTTCAGCTCCATTGAGAGTAGTAGTAGGTGGCCATTTTGAATAAGGAAATTGATGCATGGGTACTATTCAGCATGTTTTCATAGGGCACATTAAAATAAAAATATCACAAAAATCACTGCAGTCATGATAAAATCACAAGACATAGCAATATTGGAAAAGCCTTGCCTCCTGTCTCAAAATAGTAATTTTTCAGAACTCTATACTGCAAAAGTAATCTTAGATTAACACTAAATTGTGCACAAATGTGGTCAAGATTTTTCATGAGTGATTTTGCATACCTTAGTTTTTGTATATTCAACTGGATATATTGTAAACAGCTTTACTTGCAGGAATTATTGAGCACCTACACTTTCAAAGTCTGGTCATGTTAAGGTGTCTCAAATTGAGTACTAAAAATAAAGGCAATAGTTTCAATCTGCAGTTTCCTCTGGAAGTTTTAGCTACAGTATTGTAACAAGCAAGCTCATCACCAATTAGGCCAGGTTTCTCTTGATTTTGTTATCACACACCCTTGTGTAGGGACTGGAAGAAGTAGACTAACAAACTGTCAAGTAACTCAATAAATAGGACTGGGAAGTACTCAATTTGTTTGTTTCATATAGCATAGAAGAAGGACACAAACTGTATAGTTATAAGTATAGTTAGGCAATTCTTTCTGTCTCTTTGGAGAAGGACACCAGAATAAGCATAAAAAACCCCAAAGCTAGTCAACCTGTAAAAGTCTTCATCCTTTCTTCTTACATAGTCTTGAATATCTTTGTCCTCTTTGATTGTAGCAATAGCCATTTCAGAAGGATACACTAACTCAAATACACCTTTTAACTAAAATAATAGGTAGAGCAAGTCAGTATTTATCCCTTTGTAGGCTTCCCCTTCCCTCTATATATGGTCACAAGACCAGTTTATTGGGTGGAGTAAGTCAATAGGTGTGGTTTTACTGAAGGGGTGCAGGTGGGGGAAGGCTCTATAAAATTTGAGCAGAAAGAGCACACAGAAAGTTTTGAGTAAATAAGCAGAAATGTAGAGGAAAACTGCTACAAGTGTGTTAGCTACTATTATAGTAAGGCTTGTATTTTAACTATTATTTTGTATTTAAACTTTCTTTTTGATAAACACATTGTAATAGTTATACAAACAAAGTTTTTGGGGAAAAAGTCTCCATAATGTCCAGCACAATATCTAATGACTCTTCTTTCTATAGATCAAGTATCTTAAATCTATAGTACTCAGAAGATTACTGCTCTTTTAGATTCAGGCCAGATGCTCTAGTTCACTCCAGTTGATGCAAAGGGGTTAGAAAATTACTGGATTTCATCAACCAAGCATTCCACCAAGTTGGGGCAGAGATGGTATATCCTCTGGCCCTGGTGTATGGAGTGTACTGGAGGTGGGAAGGGATGTGATCAGATTGCTATTGTGCTCTGGCTATTCTCAGTTGGTGGGGAGATGGCTTCTTAGGGGCCATTACCAAAAATCCCAAACTGGCCCTTAATATCTGATATTTAAACAAACTTCTCTGCATTTAACTAGCTTTGTTTTCAAATAAAATAGTTTCCCTAAATTTGGCTTTTGTTTTACTCATGCCCTGTTTCCTAGAATTAGGTACTATGGGCAACAAAGATATTTAATGATCATTGTAGCAAGTGTTGACCAAAAAATTTTTTTAAATAAAAAATATAGCAAAATGTCTGCTATTGTTTTTTGCTAGGATTGCCTTATAGCAATCAAAGAGTGATATGGTTCAACTTTTTAGTATTCCTTGCAAAAGCCAAGACGTTATTGAGGTCTCAGATGTACTCTTTTTATTTATATTTAAACTTAAGCACTGGAAATAGTAGTACTCTGACTTAGGCTATATCTGTGGAATTTAACATTGTAGTCATGCAGTAAATAAAATACAATTGATAGTGTAATATACAGTAAATACTTTATTGGAAAGGAGTAATAATACTCATAAGGAGAGAACATAAAGGCAAAATAATAAACTCTCATCCATCTATGACAATGTGGGAGAAAGGTGATGGTTTCTCAGGGACTAATGTGGTTCAAGTAATATCAATACATTTGGTTTAACAAAATATTAAACAGAGTAATCACAGTTACATAGAAATTCTGTTCATTAACACAAAACATAGTAGACAGCGTAATCTTCCTATTAGTTCCTTTAAATATATTTTTTTCTATAATCATCTTTTTGTGTAATGATGTTTTCCAGACGTTATTGTAAAAATCTCAATCCCAAGAAAGTAGGTTGAATTTGCATGTATCGCCTGCAGTTATCACAATAATGTTAGAAGCGTAAATGGTTTCAAATAGTGTTCAGTAGTACTGGAACTCTGTTTTCCTCTGATTTGATGTTACCAATCCACAGGCAGATCAAGTTTGAGTTCAATAGTCCTGATTCACAGTTACCATACACTTCATGAAGTCCTTTGCACAAATGTAAAGTGTTAGTAAAATGCTACTAACTGAGAATGGTAGCATTTTACACTCACTTTGCATTGTTCAAGTACTATATAAAGTGCAGGGCAATGGTGAATTGTGGCTGATGATTTCACATTACACAGGTTCACATTAGTTTACCAGAACTGGATGTAGGACTACGCATCAGCTTAGATGAAATGACAGAGATTCAGGACAATCTTCCTCTTGTAAAACTGGCATATAATGGTATAAAAAAATTATAATGGGACCATTCTGAATAACTAAGGAACTACAGAATATAATTTACTAATTTTTCCAGTGAGTTACAGGAGTTTATAGAATTTTTGTTAGCTAGATAGCATGCCCCAAGTATTCTCAAATTGATTAATCATATCTCCCGGACATATCCCTTTCCCTTTGTTTTCACACAACATTTGTTTACATGGAAATGTAATGTAGTTATTTTTATCCGTTCTACTGGTGGCTCTAGTTTCCTCTTTCATGTGTCATATTAGGTAGCAGCAGCTCTCAGTGGAGGCAACTAAGATGTCACCTCCTTTTTTTCCAGCTGCTTTTGCAAATATTCAGGCTCCCCTTCACAATGACAAATCTGATGGACAGTAGTTTGTACTTTTAAAAAGCATGTGGTTTATAATCTCTCTTTAGCTGGCCCGAGTGCTATATAGTTCAAGAAAGTCCAGATGAATTTGCAAGGCAGTAGACTGCTCAGTATGCAGTACTTTCA